ACATCTAATATTTCTACACTTATGTGTACCTGCTTTGCAATAAGCACTATACATAATATTTAATGCATAACATAAACCCATGCTTGTTATTCTCATTTTGAAGGTGAGGAAACAGGCACAGCAAGGTAGAATAACTCACTTTGGGATATCTAGTAAGTCAAGCACCCCATATTTGAGGTTCCCCACTAATTTGGCTCAAGAGAGCTAAGCTGACTCTTAAGGTAGCACGTGGAACAGCACTGGAAGCAACCTGATAGTCCTTCCCCAAACCCAACCTTGGTTAGAAGGTGGTGTGTTAGGGACAGGCTTAGAAGTGATTTCTACTCTGAGAGTCACTTAGGACAAGGTCACAAGAGCTCTTGTGACTCCACTGCCACTGCCCCACTGCTACATTTCTTTCTGTACTAAGCTTGTCTCTAGTATCTCTGGCGAGCCTTACAATAGCAGGAAATTCAGGCCTCTTCACTTCCCGAGGGGGCAGAAAGCCAGTGCAGATGGGTGCATCTGTGCTGTACAACCACACATCCCTAACCTCTCAGCCCAAGTACACAGCAGATGTGTGCGAAAGAAGAGGACAAAGGGAAAGGAATTTAAAATGCACAGAAAGGTAAAAACACATATTCTTGTTTGTTTCTTGAGACAGATTTGCTATGTAGTCCAGGCTGGTCTCAAATTCACAATCCTTCTGCCTCAGTCTCCAAAGCATGGGAACTACTGGCCTTTGCCACCAGGCCCACCTACATTTACCAAAGTTTGATCTATACTTATTTTGCAAAAATACTGAAGTGTCAAGCTTCACAATTAGTATTCTCTTATTTCACTTCCCAAGACAAGAAACACTATCTGTTCTGCATTAGCATTGCTGCAAGAATTATCCCTTAGCAGGAACCATATGATTTCAATGCACAGATGAATTTCAATTAGATATTTATCTGACTATGCTGACGTGTTTTAAATTTAACCCTAAATTACAGTCTTTTTGAATAACTCTGTTCTGCCCTCTACTCTCTTCAATTTTGGTTTGGTATTGTGAGAGGTCTGCTGGTAAAAATGAAGCAATACCAGTAACTTATCTACAAATTACGGGAAGGAGAAAGTAGGTTAAAAAAGACCAAGAAACTTAAAACAAGTTTGATCAACCACATCCGAGCCAGGCAGGAAACAATAGGAGACTCTTCTTGCACATAGGGAAGGAAGGTAAGTAACACAGGACTACTGTCAAGCAAGTCTCAGATAAGATTCACCTCACTTTGGGGGCCTCTTCCCGAATTTCAACTGCAATCAACAAACTATGAGTAGCTTTGATCTCACACCTGGGAAAGGCAGCATGCAGAAGGAGAAAGCTGACACTTTCACTCTGCTCCTTCCATACCAGAAAGAGTCTCACTTTCAATTCAGGCATCTACCATGACAGCATGATCAGTGACTGTGAACAAGAGACTGTGCATATCTTGCCCCAAGAAGAGGCCCCCAGGAAGAAGGAAAGCTCTCCTAGACACTCCCTCTGAGGAGAGGGTCCAATCAAAGTGGGCATCCTAAGCTAAGAAGTCACCAGTAATCTGCGGTGTGCTCTTGTTCCCACTGCAAACCCAGCACAACCATGCCAGTGTCCTGCATGTGACACCACCTAAGCAAGCTGTTACTCTTGCAGGAAAGTGGGGGAAAATCTCTTTATTACTCCTTTTCATTACATTCAATGTACAATTATCTCAGTAATTTTTTTTTTAATGTATTTAGGACAGGGTCTACAGGGTCTCACTATGCAGACTGGACTCATAGTGACCCTCTTGTTTTCAGCCTCCCAAGTGCTGGGATTACAGGCACGCACCACCATGCCCAGTCTCAATCGCCGTTTCAGAGCACCCTGGGGGCGGGGCTGGCACAGAAGGCTAGGGATTAAATCCTCAGCCCCTGTGTCTGCCTAAGCAGGTGCTTTAATCCACTGAGACATTTGGCCAGCCCTCAGTAAAAAATTTTAAATAAAAAACCCTACATATCAACAGATGGATCGATAAGGAAAATGGCCACATGCATTTTATTACTCAGCATTTTAATAAAAAGGAAATTCTGCCATTTGTAACAACATGGATAAACTCTGAGGATATTCTACAAAATGAAATAATCCAGTGATAGGATAAATGTTACTTGATTCTCTTTATATGAAGCATCCAAAGTCATCAAACTAACAGATATAGACAATGGGGTGACTGCAAGGAGTGGGGAGGAGCATGCAGAATTGCTCAATGGAACTTTTGGTTATATAGATAGCTCTGTGCCATTGGGAGAGTATCCTAAACTTTAAGATGAATGAGTTGGAGAATTCTGCTGGACAATATTGGCCTATGGTCAGCAATAATATATTATGCACTTAAAATTTTATTGAGAGTAGATCTCATGTTAAGTACTACCACAATTTAAAACAACCTTGTAGGAGTGGGGATACAGCTCAGCAGCACAAATACCTGATTGGCAAGCACAAGGTCCTGAGTTTGATTCCCACATCAAAAATAAATAAATAAAATAAAATAAATAAAATAAAACAACCTTGTGAGCCCCAGGCCCCCAGTGACCTCTGAGCTCATCTCTTACAACTCCAAGTATAGAGGCAGCATTGCCAAGGGAAGATATTTTGTGAAGGGGCCTTAGCAGCTATACTGGGGGTGTGTCATCAAAGGGACCCAATCCAGCTCAAATTTGTTATTAATGTAAATGGAATGTCAATTAGCAATGAGCTGGGTGGGGACAAGGCAAATTTAATGCAAACATATGTCTCATCAGATGAGGCAGACTTTCTGGAGATTTCTGCAGAAACTTGTGTATAATGGAGACCAGATCTTCTGGCTGTTCAAGAGAATCTAAAAGTGAAGAATATAATATGAAATTTTATAAAGTTTAATGTTAGCAACTATTGGGCAGCTGGAATATATGTTCTCCCCTCCTTGCCAAAAAAATTCCAGAATAGGCCTTGCTTTCCTTGTTTCCTGTGTGGGGTAAAAAAAATTGCCCAAGGTAACCCTGCTGGTGGGGCACTTGGCAGCTCTGACTAAAGGTCCTCCCATTCTGCTGATTTGGCATCTGCTGCTTGCACTTAACAAAAGCTAGTTTAAGAAGTTTCATAGATATACCCCTGGCTCAATAAATACCAAGGCAGCTGTACAGTTTCCAGACTGCATGATATTATGAGCTAGACTCATATAATGAGGCATCCTTCCTAAAAACACATGTCATTTAATCTCCAGTTTAAACCCTCTTATAAATACTTCTTTCCTTTAGAACACTTATACAACTTGAGATAGGATATTTATCTGTATATTTACCCACATCTGTTTTTTCTATGGGAATATAAACTCCATGCAACAGAGGCCATTTTTTATTTTCTGTATCCACAGAATGAGCATCATAACACAAAGGGCTTAATGAACTTCTGTTGAAAGAATTAAGGATGGTAAAAGCCATGGAAAAGCCCCATTGGATCTAGCTGAACTGATGCTGCCACTGCAACAGATAGAAAGTTTCTAGGGAACTTTACAGAGGTCCTAGTGCTCCTCTGAATCAAAACAAAGGGCCTGCCAAATCCTGCTCAGCAGGATTAAAGTACCTGTTAGGCAGACCCAAAGATCTGGGTTTCATCCCCAGCTTGCGGTGCCAGCCCCGCCCCCAGGACAAGCTGAGCCACTGATTGAGACTGGGCTTGGTGGCACCTGCCTGTAATCCCAGCACTTGGGAGGCTGAAAACAGGAGGATCACTAAGAGTACAATCTGTGTAGTGAGATGCTGTACTAAATACAAAAAAAAAAAAAAAAAAAAAAAAAAAAAAAAAAAAACAGCCTGGCCAGACCACTATATACCAGAAAAAGGGCATGGGCCTCCTGTAATTATACTCTCTGAAGTGATGGCCTTTCAACCACAGGATTATGTTCTACCTTCATGTCCAGGTATGGCAACACAGATACTGCCCTGGCATCTGCCTAGCCATTTAACCCTTGGCTTGTGCCTGCTGAGCACCTGGCTACAGCCAGCCAGCCCTTAGGAAACAGCTCTTTGTATAAGACATTCTGTGATTATGTCAAATGTGAATGTCAAGCCCATGTTGCAGCCATTACGGTGACAGACATAATTCCTGCTATAAGGAGCTTAGAAAGGGTAATCTCTGATAAGAGGGAACCCGATACCAGGGCCTTCCGAAAGGCTACGGTATAGTAAGGGCATAGGTACAGAGACAGAAATACAGGGCAGGTGAGAGAAAAGGGAGATAGACCAGTGCAAGGGCAACCAGAGCTCAGGACAAATAGGCAAGATGGTAGGGTGAAAGAAAAGAAACACAGGGGATATGCTGAGAAGCCTTGGGGGAAGTTACAACACTAATTAATCATCAAGTGTTTTCCAAGAAATTCAAGATCACAAACACATTCAATTTAGCCTGTACACATAGTTTGTTAATAACTCAAAACCTGAAAGATTTTACGTAAAAATGGAGATCTCCAGCTTCGCTGGAAACCTGAGAAACCCTGGCAATATCATATCCATATTTCTTCAGAACAACTGAAGACTGAGGCACAACAACAGATGCACACAAAGGAGGAAAGGCTCTTCAGTCCGCCACAGTTCTCAGCACTTCTATGGCTCTCTCCTAGGGCCCACATCACTCATTGATGGTCACTGTTCAACTTCAGTGGGTACCTGTGCCTTAGGGCATTCTCTCACCTCTCATGCCCCCAATGACAACGCCTCCATAATTCCCACTCTGCAGCCCAGAGTGGCACCATTCTTCTTTGATAACATTATGATCAATCAAACCCACCTTTCACACTTGACCCAAGGCCTTCCTGGATATGCATTTCCAGGCTCTGATTAGGTCTCTTGCACCCCAGACTGGCTTATGCATCACCATTATTACTATATAAACAGAATGCTAGTTTCTGATTTTAGAGCACAGACTAACAAAACAAAGAAAGGCTTCTTATCAAGGTTGAAAAACAGTCCCAAAGCTAGCAACTTACAGAACTCCTTTGAACATCCTGTTCAGTCTTGGCGTACATCTCAGACAGATCGCCATTCAGAATGACTTCAGCTAATGAATTCACCAGTGGTGTGTGATGTATAATGAGGAAGACCTGGTGGAAAAGCAGAAATGACACACGTGGTAGAGGGGACAGTGTTTTAGGATCTTCTTTCCCTGATAGAAACAACCAGGCAGGGCCACAAAAAGTCCAAAGAATGGGTCACATCCAGGAAAAATCAGTTATTCTCTTCCAAGACTGGCCTCTCCTCCAGACTGTTGCCTATTTGGCTGGCTGTTCTCCTTAAATAGGAAGCACATTAAAGAGATGGCCCCTCACGGCTTGTTTAAGCCAAATCTAGCTGAAAAGTACAACAACATGGAAAAAACGTCCTTCCTTCTCAAATTTAATGGTTAGGTTCAATGTTGACATTAATGGGAAATTTGTTTTCAGTTTTCATCAAATATGATTTGTGACCAAAATAGTGGAAAGAATTAAGTTCATGAACCAAGGTACCACTAAATTAGGTAGCTGCACTACTGGTTCTTCACTAAGAAAACAGAAGGAGTACTGTCAGAAAAAGGTGAAAGGCCTCCCCACTAAAGACCCACCTCTGGGGTATGGCAGCCATATAATGCTTCAACAACAGCTACAGGGTCCTAGTAATGGTTTCTAGAGGACTCCTGTGGCTGTGCAACTGGCTTATCTGGGTCCCACCAGACTCCCAGAATCCCACACAGGAGATGCTAGTGGATCTGAGTGCAGCTTTAGAGGCTGGGGTTATGCTGACTTCTGTCACACAGAAGGGTATTCACACAGACTGGGCAACATGCAGAAGTCTGAACAAACAGAGCCTCAACCAACGAGGTGCTGGGATGTAAGCAGTGGCCAAGTCACTGCCAGACCCCAGCCAGCCTGCCCACTGCAGGAGCCATGGCTAAGTCTCTCTTCTCAGGCCAATGGGAGCCGGCCTCACCCTAAACTTGAAGTGGCAAGAGATCCAGTTAGAAGAACAGGCTTTCATCAAAGCAAGTAAATATCGGTGCCTTCACAAAAGTGAGAGCAGAGCTCTCATGAAACATCTGACTGCTTGACAGGCCAGTGAGATGGTCTGTGAGTCGGGACTGCAAGTAATAAAAATATTTTTAAAGTTATGTAACTGAGTCACCATGGAGTTTTTCCCTTCTTGTAAATATTACATAATTACAAGAAAGAAACACAGTTGTTTAAGGAGGGAAGGCAAACAAACTGGCTTGAGACACCAATGCTATAAGACATCATCTAGAAGGTCATTTTGGAATCAGAACCACAACAAAATCCTTTAAAAATAGTCTCCTTACAGAAAGTTTGTGAAACTAAGGTTGCCTCGTATATGCACCCCCTGAGCCAGCAGCATGGGGCTTACTTCAAAAAATTATCAATGAAAACCATGCAGCCCACATTTCTAGGGTATGTAAGAGCACTTCTTGGTTGTTTTAGAAACCTCAGGCCTCACATATAAGTCAACTATGAAAGGGCCAGGTTTGATTTATTTCTACTCTTAAATTTTTTTTAAATGTATTTAGTATAGGCTCCACAGGGTCTCACTACACAGATCAGACTCGTAGTGATCCTCCTGTTTTCAGCCTCCCAAGTGCTGGGATTTCAGGTGCATGCCACCATACTGTCTCAGTGGGTGTCTCAGTGTGCTCTGGGGGCAGGGCCAGCATGGCATGCTGGGTATCAAACCCCAGTTCCTGCACCTACCTAAGCAGGTGCTTTAGTGCACTGAGTTATCTGGCCAGCCCTCAGGTTTGCTTTATTTTTGCAATTCTTTTAAAATCTCTATTCCTTACTATGAAGCCACCTCTGCTCAATGACTAGAAAAGAATGACCCTTTCTTTACATTGTGATTTTATTTAAGACAGGAGGCCCAGACAGGTAATGCAGCCTGGGAGTTTACTGGAAGGAAGGAATGCTTTCACTTGGCACATACCTGCTAAGGATTCCAGAAAACAAGCAAACATACCTGGGACAGAAGATAGAGTGACACTGGCAGGCTAATTTTCGGTCGTTCTCCTCCCTAGTGAGGGGTGAGGAAAGAGATAGAAGGGAGTTTAAGTCACAAAAGAAAATACACAACACAAAAAACCAACTGTTTAAAAAAGAAGGGCTCTGGTTCCTGACTTCTTCCTGATCCAAAGGCCCCTTCATGGTGCCAGGCAAAAGTTCACTCTGCAGAAGACAGGTGTGGCCTAATCCCATTGAGTACTGTTCACTAGGCTATGGATTCTGCCTGCAAAATTCTTCATCACTAGTCCTGGGCTGACCCAAGGAAGATACTTCCTCCTGAAGGTACCAGGAATGCCCATTTCTCCAGCTGGGGGCTTACAGCCTCTGTGGAGAGGCCTCAGAGGCCTGCTCTAGGGAAGAGACTTCAAAACCCGGGGGGAAGGGGGGGAGCACTCTAGTCATAAAAGCTCATCTCTACTGAGTTTCAAGTGCCCATCCTCATACCAGCCCTGAGAGGATAGAATCTTTATTATTATTTTTTTCTTTTAAAAAATGAAGTTTATTGATACATTTTAGGTTTACATAATGATCATTAATCATAGGGAATTGTACCTGAGCATGATACAACTTATATAACTTGATTCTTTTTTTCCTCATTCCCCTACCCTCCCTTCAACCCCTCTTCCGCTCCTTAACTATAAAAGCTTTATTTCCACTTTTTCCTTTGCTTCACTTTTTTTTTCTTTTCTAGAGAGAAATCTTTAGGAGCCTTATTCTGTAGCCAAACAAAGAAGCTCACAGAGAGGTTAACTGCTTTGTCTGAGGTCACAGGATTAGCACTTTAGGGAAGCAGAAATTTGACTCCAGGCCTGAACACTCCAATTTCCTGGCTTTGTTGATGCCTCCCAGCAAAGGAGGTAGCAAAACCTGTTGATGAGCCTGCTGTTGGATTGCTTCTGGCAGGACTAGTTAAGAGCTGAAACTTTCTTACACTGTATTTACTTATTTGTGGCAAGAATCCCCAACTTCTGCCTCCAAAGAGGAAACATCCTCCTGGGATACATCTGAGGAGGTCCCCTGCAGGGGGATGAGCTGGTTGTCCTGCCTCCTTCCAAGAATCTGTTGTCTCAGCCCCCCTAACTCTGGAAGGATGGACAGAGGCCTCCCCTCCCTGAAGCAATGTTTCTCATGAGGGGATTCCAGAATCAGAGCCCAGAATCACCTGGGAGTAAACTTATGGTCCCACCCCAGAACCCGAACCCCAAGGGGAGGGTACCTAAGGACCCATGCCTGTTCCCACAGAAGACTCTGAGGCCAGTGACCTGGATAGTCTCAGCCTCTGTGTGTGCTCCCTGATCTCTCCCTGAGTATGCTCCATTCCTTCCTGTGTAGTCCACACAAGTTCTATTGCTGTCTGGATCGCCTTCAAATCAATAAGCTCTAGTAACTCATAAAGTTACTGGAATGGGAACACCTCAGGGAAGAGGCACAGAAATGAAATGCCTGAATTTGCAGGGGGTTAGTTTCCTCCCAATGTCAGTAATCTGATATTTTCTCATTCACTCTGACAGTTCACTCTTTCTCTGTAGGGAAAAAGAAAGGAGAAACCAGTGTGCTTTGAAAAGCCTCTGCCTCAGATGAAGCCCAGGTCCCTGCAAAGCTCAGGCCTAATCAAGGTCACTATGTTCCCCGCTGGAAGGCAGCCTGCAGTGACAGTGGGCCAGGGGCAGACCCACCTTGTCCGGGTTCTCCAGGGAGTACACATAGAGTGGCAGGAAGAGCCTGTTGAGTAGATGGTCTGTGAGCACATCATTGAGGAACTCACAGTTGATGATCAGGATGTCATTGAGATAGTGCAGATGGTCTAGATGCTCGGCTACTAAGTCACTCAGTTTCCCACGATTCCGGTGCCTACAAGAGAAATGACCACCTCAACCTGGAAGCCAAAGCTCAGGACTTTGAGACTAAAACCAGAGGCCTGAGACTCAGCTTGCTGGAGGCACTGTCACTGACAGCTGTATCTGAATGAGTCTCAGGACACCCATCTTGCCTCCCTTAGGAGACACACGAGGGCAAAGTAAACAGCCTCCCTGTAACCCAATCTAGGGGATTCCTAAGGCCCTTCACCCCCTGAGGGTCTTGGTATAAGTAATCCTACAACCACAGCACTAAACAAATGGGGTAGACAAAAAAAAAAAAAAAGAACAAGTACAGCTAAATTCTTGTAGTAAACCAGAGCACAAAAGTAGCTGCTAGCCAATATGGCAAAATCCCCTGGCTCCCCAGGCTCCCAGATAAGCAGCAGGAATGGAGCCATAAATCCTCACCAATTACAATGCTCCAACCAGGCTCAGAAGACAAAAGCAGGCTTTACTCAGCAGCCATGTCTGTCCACCCCATGGCCCTGACCATACGTGGGACATGAAGCAAGGACACATACTGCTGTGTCTCCTGGGTGGAGTCAGTCTCATAACCCAAAGAGGTATTACAACAAATACTACGAAATTCATATTACTTTGTTAAGTGAAAATCTGTATCACTCATAATTTTTTTGTTTTAATTCTAATTTGTATTCTCTTTTAAAAAAATAAATAAATAATCCAAAGGGGCAAAATCAAAAGGACTGGGGGCACTTCTTTACTACTCCCAAGTAGCAGCTATAGCAGTCCGCAATCCAGTTAGGGTAAGACATCATATTTCCATTGTTATTATTATTCAAAGAAGTCATTTCAGAAAACAAAAGATTTTAAAAGAAAATGAAAGTAAACAGAAATCCAAGTTCCTACCATGCTACAAGTAACAAACACCTGCTATTAACGTTCTGGAACATAGGTCCCTACGATCTGCTGCACACTGCTCTCTCTCCCTATAGCCAACCTAAAATGGAGTGTTATATATTCACCCAAGCTTCTGTGCTTCAAAAGATAAAACGCAGAATCAATTGTTTCTCTTATATAACTTTAGTTAAGTATTCTCCATTATGCTTTAATAGTAAACATTCGCTGTAAGTGTATATTACAAAGCCTAAGACTGTAATAACATCTATGAATCCACCACCATCTGAGATCCAGAATACTCACAGTGTTTCACACTTTTTTTCCACTTCCTAAAATACTGCAGACTCGCTTTCCCTTCCTTTCTCCCCTTACATTCCTCCCTTTCTGTCTCCCTTCCTCTCTTCTTTTTTGGTCATTATGGGGATCAAAGCCAGGGGCCTTCCACCACTGAGTCACATCCACAGGACTTTTAAATTTTTTAGGGTCTAACTAAGTTGCTCAGACTGGGCTTGAACTTCTGATACTCTTACCTTGCCCTCCAAGAATTAAAGCACATCCCACCATGCCTAGCTGGAAATTTTTCTTTAGTAAGATATTTAACAAATCTCACTATTTAATACTGTAGTTTAAAATTTTTTTATCAAAATTGTGTCTACAGATAGATTTAAAACTCTAATAGCAATGATCAGTTGATAATAAAAAACAGAAGCTTCTGTCCTAGCTTGTTCTCCCCATAGAAGGCAGTTTTTAACTTTAGGGTATTTCTGCAGATAGTTCTCTCACACTTCCATAAAAGCTGCTATAGACTTCTATTGTTGATGGAACCTTTTTAGATAGTATCTACTGGTCTCCTGCTATGACAGAACTCTTCACGTTCCCTCCATCTCTTTTTCTAAAAGCAGTCACCAGTAACCAGTGTTGACATTATCATGACTGTTCACTGCAGACCCCAGCAGAGGACTATGAGTTCATTTCCTTCCCTTTATAGCTTTACTCTTTCTGGAAGAAAGTGCTTCATTATGTCTCATATCCATAATTGTTCATGACCACACAGGTTCTTTATTTTTCCAAATGTTCAGTCAGACATAAGATCTACCTGTCCTTATTGTTTCTTTCCCAAAGTCAGCTAATATTCTACCTGTCTAGCTACCCTCCCCCAGGAGAACTCCATCCTGGATCTCTTCAGCATCCTGACCTATATAGGGGTCCCCTCATCAGGCCTGGGCAAAGCTGTCACTGCAGGGTAGTGATTTTGCCTTGACTAAGAAAGTGTAAGCTTCTAGCATCTGGTGGATAGAGGCCACCTAGTGCCTGCTGCAGAACATCTTACAAGACACTGGGTGTCCTCACAGGAATGGTGTAGCTGTTCAAAAGGTTTGCAGTGCCAAGAGAGGGAAATCCTGCTGAGGAAGTCCTATTTCTCCACTCTGAGGACAAAATCACCACCTTAATCTATTTTTAAAAGTCATTTGTTGAAATATGACTCACCATAAAACTTACCCATAAAAAAAGTACAACTTCATGGTTTTTAAAATTGATTTATTCATCTATTAATTATTTTTCAGTGTTTGGGATTGAGCCCAAAACCTTACACATACTAGGCAAGTGGTCCTAACAGAGCTATAACCCCAGCCTCAAAGGTTTTTACTTTCCGAGTTCTCCAATCATTACCACAATATGAAAACATTTTTATCTCCTCTGTAGAAAGTCCTATCTGTATTTACTAGTAGTAGCTTCCCACTTCTCCCTAACCATACTCCCTCCTGCCCTACTCTGGCCTGGGAGACCAGTAATCTGCTCTTTGTCTCTCCATTTCCCTATTCTGGGCATTTCATGTAAATGAAATCCTAAGGTAAGTGCTGCTTTGTGTCTGCTTCCTTCACTGAGCACAATGTCCCGGAGGCTTGTCTCTGTCAGAACTTGTGCTAGTACTTCATTTGCTTTCATTGCCGAATAATATTCTTTTGTATGGACAGATCACAGTGTGATGATTCACTCATCAGTTAACAAATCACCTTAAGCTTTTCACCAGCTCCCCAGAACCCATCTTGGAGAGTATTCAGTTTATTTTCTCTCTCCCTCTCTGGACGGTATGGGAGTTGTTTTCACCTCCTCAAACTTGTAGGGTAGAACCTTAAACAATGCAGAGTCCACACTCCTCTGCCTACCCCAAGGCAGCCAACTGTTGCTCTTGTCTTTGTTTTTCCACAACAGAAACTGAATTCTCCCCTAAGCACTACGGGCTCCCCACTATGCGCCAAGGGCTTCACTTACTCCTCATCAGTCTGCACACAGGTGTCAAGTTCAATCACGTGGCTCCCAATGAACCAGACCAAATTGGAGAAGTAAGGGACAGCAGTTTTATCTCTGATATAGTGCAGCATGGCCTGGTTATCCACTGAGAAAATTCACAAAAGAAAAATAAAAGTCAAGTTACCAAAAATAACTTGGTGGAAATTAAAAAAAAAAAAGAAAAGCAAACAAACCCAAAAGCTACAATAAAAAAGCTCTCTGAAATAATCTGAAATTATCTGTCTTTCCTGGAAATACTTGAAAATGTTTATCTTATTCATAAAATGATGCCTGTCATGGCAGTTCTTATGCTATTCTTAAATTAATGAAATAAATAAGTGAGACTGAGCAGTTTTAGTGCATTAGAGAGCTTATCAGCAGGGATTTAGCTAAACTGCTAGAAGCATACCATTCTTAAGTAAGCTTCCTGCATTTACATGTAAGGATAAGATTAAAAAGTGGAAAACCAGAGGTTAATAACTTACATGACACTGGAATAAGGAACAGGAATCGTCATTGAAGGAAAGGCAAAAAACAGACAACAGTTAACAGGGTTAAGAACTAGGAAGGTAAGACAGCTACCTAGAGGGGGAGATTTATCGCTGGGGTGGGAGGCATCTAAACCAAGACATGGGTTAGCAGAGAACAAGAGAAAACAGAACAGAAGGCAATGGACCAGGGTCGCAAACTCAGGAGCTTCCAGGTGGGCTGATGGGCCAGGAGTGAGGCCAGGAAGGCCCAGTACATACATACATGGGGGAGCCTAGGCCTCTACCCCAAGAAGAATGGCTGCTTCTCAGTAGCAGCTGACCCTTCCCTTGCAGGACTACAGGCCCAGAATGACCAAACTTACACCTTCAAGTCAGAAAAGACAGTGTCACGGAATATCTTCCCATTTTAAAATACTGGCAACTGTCTACTTAAAAAAAAAAAAAAAAACCTAAGCCAATCAAAACATGTATAAGGGCTGGATTTTGCCTGCAGGCCCTCAGTTTGCGATTTCCTGGTGGATCGAAATGGGCTTCTAAAAAGGCTCTTAAACTTAATGTAAACCCAGAATTAGGTTTGTATGACTCTTTGCAGAGCCTCCCAATGCCTCCAATTTAAGGACCTCTCAAGTAATAACATCTTGACTTCTGAAGGTTAAAAGTCCTCTTTAATCCCTCAGAAAATGGAGACCCAGTTCCACTGTAGCATCCACAAGGCATTAGGCAGAAAACCTGGGCATTAGGCAGAAAACTTCCAAGGCAGAAGCTTGAAAGGACAAGCTCAGCTCCAGAAACTTGGGGACAGACAACTTTGGGAAGGGCTTTCTCCCACAGGCAATGTTTGAAGCAATTAAGCATATCTTGAAAGAAAGGAATTTGTCTCTGGTTATTTTATGAGACCTTGCAGCCAGATGGAAATTCAACATTGCCCCCTGCTGCTCAGGATGTGAAATGCTTTTATTATCTGTGCTGAAGAACATTTCAGAAACCCAAACACAAATACATTTAAGTCTAACATTTACTAGACAACTTTGCTTTATCTGACTTATTTCTCTGAATGCCACATGTGTCTTTCTAATAATACCCTACTTCTGAGCAAGACTGTACCACGCAGGGAGAGGGCAGTGTGAAGGCCAAGTAAGTGCTTAGTGGCTGCAGCTTTTTGTAAGATACACAGACCCTGCTTATACTAAATGGGCTCCCCTGTTAACTGTCACAGAACTGGAGGCAAAAACACACGACAGCAAGCTCTTGCTGCCGAGTTGGAAATCAGTCCAAGAATAAGCTCATAGGGAAACTTACCTTTATAGACGTTCAAAGTTATGGTTCTTACAGCAATCCTCACCATGCTTTCAGGGTGATTGAAAAATTTGATGGCTTCTGTGTATAGGGCAAAGTCATTGGTGTGCTAAAGCAGAAGAAGCACCAGAAAGTTACAAACCTAAAAGACAACCTTTCTCCAATCTAGCTTTCTACTAAAACTCATTAGAATGAAAGACTACATAAATGACAAAAAATACAATACCAAAAAAAAAAAAAAAAAGTTGGTCCTCAATCCACTGGTTCATTCCCAATGCAGAACGTGGGGCAGAACAGGGAGGTAAGGTCACAACGGAAAAAGAAAAGGTTCAAATAATGCCATACTTCAGACTGGGGCTCATTACCGATCCTGCCACTTCGTAGCTGCGAGGCAGTAATTCTAAGCTTTTGTTTCTCCATCTATGAAATGGGGATAGCAGCATGTACTTCATATTTGCTGGAACTGCGTGAGAACATTTCCAGTCTAGTGTTTAGCTCAGCATCTGTAACCTTGTAAGGACCCAACAGTGATGCTGGTTATTTCATTAGAGACTACTGCAAGTGCCAGAAGGACAAAACTTCACTAAGTGTGGAGTATCTGCTGGCCACTATAGTTTATTCTATTTGAAAAACTAAAAGTGTAAACATTATCATGGAAAAGAGGCTACAGGCATCCTCTACTACTGAAGAAAGACTATGAAGGCTAGGGCACAGTTCAGTGATGGGGTGTGCTTAGCATGCCCAAGGCCCTGGGCTTCACTGCCAGCACCAGGGTGGAAACTGTATGTGCACATGGGTATGTGCGTGTGTGTGCGTGTGTGTGTGTGTGTGTGTGTGTGTGTGCGTTCAGAAGGCAAACAATTCAAACCACAGAAACTCATTGTCCCACTTAAAAGAGCCCATTGGAATGGGGGAAGGACCCACAGTGGTGTGCTCTGCTGCCCTCTGGTGGACAATGTCTTCCAGTAGCTTGTTGACCCAGCTGTGAAGGCACCGGCAACAGCCCAAGAAGGAACCTTAGCATCTTGGGTTGGCTGTGAGGAGGTAGAGCCTCAAGGTGACAAATATCCAATAAAGACAATACTGCTTTGAGAAGTAGAGGCCAAGTATGCAACTAACAAGTGGCAGCTACTATACTGGCTCACCCTACAGAAGAAATCAAGCTCACCTCAAAAAATGAGGTTCCTGTCTACTACCCCTGTGATGACCATGGGGGAACTTCTAGAATCAGCACTCTGGTGTTCTGCCCTCCCAGGCCTGTGCAAAGAAGACCGGCCACACCTGAGTGGAGGGTGAGTCTGCTCCTCACTCTGGCCTCAACCTCACAGACAGATTCTCCTCTACCTAGCAGAGTCTTTGGGAAAGGGCTCTCTGGCTGTGTTCACTGAGCGCCTTCTACTATGTGCCAGACATAGGGTCTCATGATGTTAACGTTTCACGTGGCCATGTTTTGTTGTAGGTAGCTAGTATGTCCTCCCTTGGAGACTAGCTCTTCTCACCACCAAAGCCAAGGTCCAGGTTGCTGATATTACATCATATACAAACAGCTGAATGGATTTAGCTTAAATTTAAAAAATATATTTGGGACCATGGTTAACTTTAGATACAGGTTCTGAGTGCATATGACCACCAATCAGAAGACACCTCATACACCAACAGCACATGACTCTGGGGGCCAAACTCTAACCTGGTCCCTAAAGATCCCCACCTCCCATATTTCTGTTCTCATGTCACCTCTCCAGACTGAGTCAGGGCTGGCCTGTGTGGCCCTGAGAGCAGGAATGTGGTGGAAGTGAGAGTGGAACTCTGGAAGCTGGGCCATAAACACTCACCAAGGAAAACCAGCTGCTAAGCCTTGAGGACACTAGCAGCACCCAGAAGAGGCCCACACAAAGCAGAACCAAGGCCTCCAACAAACAGCCAGCACACCTGGCCACCATGTGAGTGATGTTCCTTGGAAGTAGGCTCCCCTCCTCCCAGCCTTCCCATGACTATAGCCTCCTGGGAGACTGACAGGGCAGACCTGCCAGGCTGATCACCGATTCCAGATACAACGGTGTGTGTGTGGAGGGAGATCTATTAGAGAGGAGAGGAAGTCTGGTGGGAGAGTTCTGAGAAAGATTTTTAGAAGTCAAAAAGGGACATAAGAAAGGAAGTGAACTCATCAGAAATTTCAACAACAGCATGTGAGTATGGGATGGTGGGAGGTGCTGCACAAATCCTACGACCCCTTTAAGAGGTTGAACTGGAGAACACATGCCAATGGCACAGTCATGGAAGCAGGAAGATGGAAAAATTAGGGTCCTTACAGATGTGGGTGAGCCACAGGGTGAGCCAGTCCCAGCATAGCTGCTATTTGTACGTACATGCGATAAAAGTAACCTTCTTTTCCCAAGCTTCTTGTAATTGTGACAGCAGCAGCATTTTATTTCAGTTGTTAATGATTCCCCCCAAGGAATACCGGGAACATTGGCTTGTATAGAACAGCAATTTCTATAATTTTAGAGAGCCATATGCTTGAAGATATTTAATGCAACCCCTGAAAAATCTATAAGGTATATATTTTCATTCTGATTTCTCAGAGGAGGAAATTGAGACTCAAAGAGGGACTGGAAGTTCCCTGAAATCACATAGCAAGGAAGTGGCAAAGCAGGCCTGACAGGAGTTCCTGTTTTTCCAACAGGGCATCACTATGCCAAGACAACTAGATACTTCTTTCTGCTAAGCATAATATTCTCAGCATAAATTTTATATTAAAAATAAAACAGTAATTCTTGAATTAATTTTTTAAAGCATGCCCAAGTCAAACAGTGTAGTTCGGAAAATCACAAGAGAAAGCACCTGAGCGTGCTTGTAAATAGACATAACAACCCAACTCCAAGGTATTGCTGTGACAGGTTTTGCTCTACACCCAAATGCATTCCTCTGGTTATCACTTACCTCGTTGTAAAAGAAATGGACAGTGTGGTTGTTGAGCTTTAATGAAAGTGTTTTCAGGAATGATATATAATATGCCATAATCTCCTCATCAGAAAAGTCAAATTTATGGACAATGATAGAATTTACATAATTGTTAGATAGCAAATAATCTGAGGGAAGAAAAAAAAAAAACAAATTAACTCATACCCAAGAAAAAACAAGCAAAGGATGCTGGGTAATCTAAGCAGATGGCCATGAAAATGTACCTGGATCTGTTGAGCTTCTGGGTTGCTGGATTTAAAAATCTAACTTAACCTTCAGCCTGCAAAGAAATAGTCTGCTGTGCATGGCAGTATAGTAGTTGGAACATTTAAAGGAAATGCCAGAGGAAACCTTCCCTCCTACCCTGCACACACCAAAAAGAACTAACTCGAACTTTTTTTTTCATTGCTGGCAGAGATTAACATAGAGCAAAATGGGGAAGATGAGGTGGTGTGTGAGCATTTTCACACACCACCTATAAGTGAGGGTAAAAGGCACTGTGTTCTATAAAAAGCTGCCCCATTCTGTTATCTAAAGTCACATCATTGTCCCTGAATGACACAAAGGGCTACACATGCTTTTTTTTTTTTTTTTTTTCTTAAGCAGCAACATGATTTCATAAAGATCAAGTTATGCTAAATCCCCAAACATTAAGCTAAATGATTCCTGGAATTCATTGTTTCCATGCTGCAGATGAGTAAAAAAGGCTTAGAGAGGTTGATTACTAGCTTGAAGACACAGTCAGTCACCAAGTCACAGAGAAGGGACTCAAATTTCCACTCTGAGGACAGAGCCTGGGTTTGCCTCACACCAATAGGGGTTGACAGGGAGAACTGGTACTGAGAGTGCTGGGGCTAACTGGAGAACAGCCCATCTTCCCTACCCTACCTCTGGGCTGCTGATCCCTGTGGAAATGCAAGTCCAGCATGACTGGTGCTTCCCACTGAGGAAGGGGAGCTGAAGAGACCATAAGGCTGGAAGTTCCTAATCTTGAACTGTTGGCTGTAACATCAACTAGTTTTAAAAGCTGTGCCAATCAGCTGCAGCTCGTGGTCTGAGGTCTGAATCTCAGTGCCAGGCCTATGTTGCGCAGGTGCTGCCACATCCTCACCACCACTGCAGAGCAGGTGTTGCTGTCCCTGTTGTCTAACTTTGGGCTGCTAGAAGTGAGCACTGCTCCAGCTCCCCTCCCTCCCCATAGACAGATGCTCAAGGACAGAACACCTACACGTGAGGCAGGAGAGCGGTGTGGTTCAGAGCCTGGCTCCTCAAAGCACCCCTGGGAGCTGACCACACACAGAGGCTGTGGCCATCCTGACCTGCTAGCCAGAGTCCCTGGGGAGAACCAACATGAAGGGTGGAAGAAGCCCACAAGGCCTGCTGCACAAGCTCACGTCTGTGCAACACTGGGTCCAAAAGAGAGCTCAGATGTTCAGTGCCTCTGTCCAGTTCCTGCCTCTGCCCTGTCTCAGCCACACAACCTTGGGCAAGCTGCTCAGCTTCCTCGCCCCCAGTTTCCTTGTCTAGAAAACAGCATTAACAGCACCCAAGTGCCTACTTCAGGTTGGATGGGAAGATCAGAGGAGATAATACACAGAAGCATTCAGGACAGTGTGGGCGCAAAGTAAATATTAATGTTAACTGCCACGATTCTGCTCATGGCTACTCTTTGGACAGTCATCCATCATCTAAGCTGGCATATTGCGAGGGCTGAGCAGTAGCTCTGGGCTAAGTGGAGATATTCCACTTGGTGAAGAGCCAACAAGATATCTGGTGCAGGTCCATCAAGTTACCACTGAACAGTCTATCTGGAATCACCCAAACACCACCAAGAGCTATTCAGGAGCTCAGGACCATGAAAGGAATCACAGTGCAGACTCGCGCCGAGTCCTGCTCAGAAACCAGCTCTCCAGAAAGGCCACTGCACATTTCTGAGCAGGCTCAGTAGGCCTGCTCCAAAGAGGTCAGAGGTCTGGGGTGGGGGCCTAGGAATCTTTTTTTTTTTTTTTTTTTTTTGTAGTGGGACTCAAACTCAGAACCTTATGCTTGCCAGGCAGGTGCTTGTGCCACTGAGCTATATTCCCACAGCCCAGAAATCTTAATGTTTCTAAAAATGAGGCTACATGTGTCACAAATGCTAAGGATACAGCTTGATATACTGGTATACAATCCTTAAATTTGTGGATGTATTTATATAGCACAAATGTATTTATATAGAAAATGACTTAAGTGTCCAGCTGACAAATTTTATATACTTATACACATATAAGCACCACCAAGATAAAACCTTGACCTCTCCACTGCTCCAAGGCTCCTTCACATCCCTCTTCCCTAAAGGCAGACCCCATTCTGACTCCCACCTTCACAGACAGGTTGTGCCTATTGTTAAACCCCTTGTTATAAATGGAGTCAGCACATGCACTCTGCCTGGGCACGGCCCCTTTTTGCTCATCACCACATCTGACAATCATCCACATCACTGTGTGTGGTGGTCTTGGTTCATCTCCTGTCCTGCCTCCCTTTTTTACTGTATAGCACTCCATTCTCTGAACAATCCATGGGTTTATCCACTGAGACTCTTTAACATGTAACACAACCTAAGGTGATTCTGAGGCCTGGAGCACTCCACTTTTTTTCTTTTGGCTGGCTCAGCCCACCCTGGCTGGCACAGGATGTGGTGCCAGGGATTGAACTGCGGTCCCCTGCGCCGGCCTAAGCTTGCCTAAGCAGGCGCTTTAGATCTCTGACCTATCTTGCCAGCCCCCCACTCTGTTTTTCACTGTGTCATTCTAGCTCTGGTTAGAAACAACAGGAGAATGAGCTGACAGAAAAGGGGAATCTCTGGGTGTTTTGTGAGCTTTGTTGGGACTGGTTAGTGGCTGCTGGGCCACCAGAAGCACAGATGCCTAAGCTGGCAGATGCAGATACACACACACATATGAGGGTCTCCGGACTGCATTCTGGACCTGGAACAGCCACAGGCATGTCCCCTTCCCACAGGGACTTTTCCAGGGGCTGCAAGAGATGACTCCATGGGTGTTAGGTGACCACTATGGGGCAGTGGAAGAGTTTCTTCTCATTTGGCTGGGACTTTTCTACTGCCCCCTCATGATACAGCTGACTTTCTGTGGTATCCTTTTATAATTAGCCCAGGAGTCTGTAAGTAATCTCAGTCTGTCAGGCCTCTGCCACACAGGTCATCAAACCCAGTGGGCAACAGATGCATGTATGAAATGGCTTCTGGTAATAGTGAAAAACTGGAAACTACCTAAATGTCCACTGTAGGTTAAACAGATTATAGCACAGCAAGATGCTGTTCTTAAACCAAGATGGGGGAGGAGGCTTCCAATAGAAGCTCTGAGACATACTGGTGAGGAGGGAAGCAAAATGGCTTGCGTAGGCTGAAGCGTTGCAGTGAGATGCTATAGAAACTTAACTTCCTCTACTTTTATAATCTTTGGAGGTTATTTTTTTTTTTTCAGTGAAGAAAATATCTATGATTAGAAAATAAAACCAAAGTCACCTCTCCTCATCCCTTACAAACAAGTTTTATAAACAGGTAGGAATTTCTGCAGTTTTGTAGGGTGTATAGGCTAAAGATTTATACAATATGAAGAGAAGCCAGAGTATTTGCAAGGCTTCTAAAAGTGAGCTATCCATAAAGCAAAGGGCCTCCACCTGGGCTGCTCACAGTAAAAGCACCCTTTTGGGTTCCACAACAAGAAAAGACTTGTATACTGCATAATCTTACTTGTGTGTAGAATCTAAACTAGTCAAGCTAGGGCCAGCCAGATAGCTCTATGGATTAAAGCGCCTGCTTAGGCAGACCCAGAGGCCAGGGGTTTGATCCCTGGTCTGCTGTGCTGGCCCCGCCCCCAGGGTGTGCTGAGACTGAGACTAGGCATGGTGCATGCCTATAATTCCAGCACTTGGGAGGCTGTAAACAGGAGAATCACTACAAGTCTGCTTTGTGCTGTGAAACCCTGTAGACTCTGTATTAAATACAATTAATTAATTAATTAAATAGTCACGCTCATAGAAGCAGAGAGCAGAAAGACGGTTGCAGAAAGACAGTTACCAGAGTCGGGTCACAGGGGCTATGGTGAGATGTTGGTTGAAGCATATAAAGCCTCAATCTTGCAAGATGGCTAAATTCTTGAGATCAAAGGGAAAGACAGCATGGACTACAGTTAAAAATGCCATAGTATATACTTGAAATTTGCTACAAGGATGTTCCTACCAGAAGGCACTCATGAGGTATTATATATACTTTTTTTTTTACTCTATTTAGTACAGGGTCTCCAAGGTCTCACTACACAAATCAGACTTAGTGATTTTGCTGTTTTCAGCCTCCCAAGCGCTGGGATTACAGGGGAACACACCATGCCCAGTCTCAGTCATGGGGGTGAGGCTGGCACAGCATGCTGGGGGTACTGAACCCAGATCCCTGCGTCTGCCTTAGCAGGTGCTTTAACCCACTGAGCTATCTGGCTGGCTCTAGTAATATATTAATTAGCTTGACTGCAGTTATTATTTTACTATACACATGAATCAAATCATCGAACTGCATACCTTATACAATAAAAATCCTGAATTTATAGTTTGCATCTTTAATCTCATACTCCTATGCCTAGCTGGGCTTGAAAAGGACTACCAGAGACAAGACCAAAGAGACTGCTTCACTAAAGGGTACAGCTTGTATTATGGCCACTTCTCGTTCCTGGTGCCTATGCTAAGCTCATGCATGCTCCTTCACACACCCTCTCCACCAGCTGCTGGTATCTCAACTCCCAAACATAAGCAGGGACCAAGGAGCTGAGTCAGCCCCAGCCCTGGATCAGGCAGAGTCCTAGGCCTGTGTCCCCGAGCTGAATCTTCACCTTTCAGAGTTCAGAAACCACACTTGTTTCATATCCAGAAAAACAGAATCTGATAATGGGAAACCACACAGGGAGACATAAATCAACCCATAGTTGTCTGTAGCCCTCAGGTTGTCTCAAATGTAAGAAACGTCTCCTGGACAGCAGCACCATCTAGTGGCTGCTGCTGAGAACTGCCATGCACCAGCTCTGTCCACCTCCTTCAGCCTACAGCACTTCTTTCAAAAACATCCCACTATAAGTTCAGAGTGCCTCCTCTGACACAGACACTCAGCCACTAGCTTTCTCTATCCTACTTCTTGCAGCCATGATCTGGGCTGTTCTGCCACCTTGGAATAATAAAGCTAGCAAACATGCATGGAGGATTAGGACAGTCTGAGCTGGGTAATTCTTCATTGTGGGGTTGTCCTGTGCACTACAGGACATCTGCACAGCTTTGGCCTCTACCCACGAGATCCCAGTGGCAGTCCCTCTGCAACTGGACTGTGGCTACCAAAATATCTCCAGTCATTGTCAGTCTTCCTGAGAGACACCAACACCCAGCCTGAGGACCACTGAGCTAATTCACCTGGGACCAAAGACTTCTCTACGCTGGCTTTGCTACAGCTATCACCCTGGGCCCATGATTCAAACTCTCCTGGTGTTAAGATGAAGACATCAACAGCCTCAGCCTCACAGGGATGTTTGTTACAGATGAAGAAACGGCTTAGCAAGGGCAGTTGATGTGTGCAGAGCCCCACAATAACTAGCTGAGCAGCAGAAGGGCAGCAGGACAGTTAGGGGCCACAGCCCACACCCCTGGGCAGGCTCTTTGGCTGTGCATTCTCATCCTGCCTCCTCTAACACCTAATCCACAGGCTGGTTATGCAACAACAAACTCCTTAATAGCAGGGACCAAGCAGGGACCAAGCAGGGACCAAGAAGCTGAGTCAGCCCCAGCCCTGGATCAGGCAGAGAGAAAGAATGCAAACATTCCTAGGACTGTTCAGAAGAGGGGAACCCTCTCTTAGCCTTCACAGTACTCATCACACAGCGGTAACAGTGTTCCAGACTGAAATGCATCCCCAGCAAATTCATACACTGAAGTCCTAACCTTTAAAGTGATCCTATTTGGAAATAGGGCTTTTAGGAGGCAATTAAGGCTACATGAGGTCATTAAAGGTCAAGACTTACAGTAGTCTGATGGAACTAATGTCCCTATAAGAGTGGAAGGGACACCAGGACTGTCTCCCTCCTTTCCTCCTTCTCTTTCTCAATATCAGTCTCATACCTGCTCTGTCACACATACACACACATACACAAAAGAAAGGTTGTACATAATGAGAAGGTGACTGGTATGGTCTAAGCGTGTACCCCAAAGATTCGTGTGTTAGAATCATGGAGTTGGAAGGCAGGGCCTGGTGGGATAGGAGGTATTTACGTCATAGGCGTTTATGCCCTCATAAACAGGATAATTAATGCTTTTCTTGCATGAGTTTTTGCTCTCAGAGCTCCATTAGTTATCCCAATAACAGATTATTCTAAAGTTAGTGCTCTCCCTCTTTTGTACAAGCCCTCTTGCCCTGGCACTTTCTGCCATGAATTGAAGCAATACAAGGTCTCATCTGCCCAGTCTTAGATTTCTCAGCCTCCAGAACCATGTGCTAAAACAAAACCTTTTTGGGGGCCAGGGAGATAGCTCAGTAGAATAAGTGCTTGCCTGGCAAGCACAAGGGCCTGAGTTCAATCCCCGGTTCCGCCAAAAAATAAAATAAAACCTTTTTCATTTACAAAATACTCATTCTTGAGTATTTTGTTACAGCAACAGAAAACAGACTTAAGCTGCTGGCTCTCTGCAAGCCATGCAGAGTCCTCACCAGCAACAACACTGATGACAGCCTCAACTTGTACTGTTATCCACCAAAACTGTGAAAAGATAAACATCTACTGATGTAGCCACTCAGTTTTCAGTGCTCTGTTAGGGCAGCCCAAGCAGACTAACATATGAGGCAAGCAGAGACGCACAAAACCCCACCAAACTACACCCCACTCATGCCCCAGAGTCCACAGGCAAGCATCAAGGAATGTCCTTACAAAGTGAGGTCTCGTGACTGATATTCTCAAAGAGGATGTTCAAGGTCTGCAGCAGCTGAACACACACATAGCGGCCTGATTTCTGCCGCAAGATGTTCAAGAAGAAGACAAACATGTTCTTCTCCAGGAAGAAGCTGGGGAAAGAATGGAAAGAGTCAGTGATTTGCTCTGACACAAGCAATTAAAATCATCTTCTGGTTACATTCAAAGGAAATGTGTTAGCTCTGTCCTGCCCTGCAAGAGCATCAGCAAGGCCACCAGATCACATCACCGGTATGTCCTTGGCTCTCATGTATCTGCTTCCCATGATGCCATCTTTTGTCAAGGTAAACATGTGACCTTTCAACTCTCTTCCCAGGATGTACGAACCATTCTGATTCCAGGAAACAGTGAACTAGATGGCTGATGGATGGGAATAATCTTCACCTACTAAGTAATCACACTGTGATGCATGCTTATAAGCCCAACAGGCACCATTTCCCATCATACTCCAGAGCCTGTTTTCCTTACTAAGCCTCTTTCTTTTACTCTCCTTATCTTTGAGTATAAAGAAAAACACAGTGGGAATTCCCTGCAAAAACTAATGCAGAATAACAAAAGAGCTTTGGTTTCTAAGTCCTCAAGGTTCCACATGTGGGGAAAAGAAATGAAAAGAACACCCACCCTGCTGACATACTGGAAGGACTTTAACCTGCCCCTATGTCTGTTTTTGCTTGACTCGGTCTGAACAGAACACTTCTCTGAGTTCAGCCTGGTACACTGGCTTTGGGGGGAGTTGGAACCCCATGATGTCTTTCTTTAAAATAAGAAAGTGATGCTTCTGGTTGTGTCCTGCGTATTCAAGCTGAGTCATTCAGAATAGTCACCAGAAGTCTCTGCAGTCACATGTCTCCTGGTTGAATTAGTTTTGGGTATCTCTCTCTGCCCTTGACCCCAGCTCCACAGTGTTGGGATCAGGAGTCTGGCATTTGCTTAGTTCTGTGTAATTTCTGTTTGAATCCATGGAAAGGTAAATGAATGGATAAATATGATCTTTAAAAAAAAAAGCTAAAAAACCTAAAATCTTTCCCAACACTGTTTCGAGAAACCTGTCTTCTGTGCATGCCACTCACACTAACCTCTAGAGTATTTCTGTCATTTGACCTACTTTATCTACCTCCACTTCAGGTAGTAAAGTATCACCCAGCATTCCTGCTGCTGCAGTAACCAATTTGAAGACTTGTTAAAATGTGTGCACCTAGACCAGGCATGGTGACGCACACCTGTAATCCCAGCTCTGGAGAGCCTGAGGCAGGAGGATCACTGGAGACCAGTCTGGGCTACAAAGTAAGCTCAAGGTCAGCTGAACTGCATAGCCAGGCTCTCTCTCTCTCTCTCTCTCTCTCTCTCTCTCTCTCTCTCTCACACACACACACACACACACACACACACACACACACACACACAGAGTATGCACCTAAATCTTGCCCCAGAAGTTGATTCAGAAGAATCCATTCATGAAACATTCAGCTTAGATTTTTGGAAATGTTTCAAGGTTTCCTTGGGAAAAATAGCTGATTCTAAGGGTGGGGAAGGAAAAATATAAGATAAGGAGTAAGAAAGTATACAAAGCTGGCCCCGGAAGCCCAGGCAAACCAAGCAGGCCACGGGCATAGTGGCTCACACCTGTAATCCCAGTGCTGGCGAGGTTCGGACAGGAGGATCACTACAAGTCCAAGCTGTGTGGTGAGACCCTGGACCAAGTAAATAAATAAATAAACACTTTAAAAAATTTAAAAGAAAGTGCACAAAAAAAAACAAGTTTGAGAACATCTCAAAGGGACACAGAAACCAATCTGAAAGAGGCTCCAAAAGCCAAAGCTGAGACAATGTAACAAAGTAATTGGCTTATAACCCAAAGTATAATAAAAATTATAAAAATGCCCTGGATTATAACTCAATGTATAATGCAAACATCCAAGAGTCTATATTGATATAAACAATCAAATAAATCAGTAACGACAGATCTTTCAAGCAGAAACATTTTAATAATATATAACACCTCCAGAAGGCAGAGCTTCCCACTCTTTCATCTTGAAAAGTGGGTTAGATTTAGTGATTCTTCTAAAGAAAAGCAGAGGGATAGGAAAAATAGTAACTTCTTAGGAACACGGCAGACACCACCTCAGCCTGGCAACAGTGCCAATGTGACTGCGATGTCCTGCACTCGTCATTGGCATCCTGCTCTGCCAGGTGTGAAGGACACTTCACCTCTCCTTCCCACAAACCTCAGCTTCAATCACAAGAAAAACATCAGATACACTCAGATGGGAAAATACTCTAAAAAACACCTGGGTAGAACTCCTCAAAGTTATCAAGATTAAAAAAAAAGAAGGAAAGAAAGAAAAAGAAAATCAAGGGAAGACGAACAACCCTCACAGATCAGAGGAAGCCGCATCAACCAAGTGCAGCTAAGAAGACTGGATGGGATCCTGGAGCATTAAAAAACTATTAATGCAAAAACTGGCAAAATCCAAACCATGTCTGAAATTTTCTTAATAGTAACATGCCAGTGACAGCGTCTCAGTTGTGAGAAATGCTCCCTAATGATATGTTAATAAGGGGAAAACCGGGTGGGGGTGGTAGATTGAAACTCTTTGTGCTATCTTTACAACATCTTTGTAAATTAAAAATTACCCTCAAAATTGAAAATGAATTAAAAGCCAAAAAAATTCTTTTGGTGTCTTTTTTTTTTTTTTTTTTG